CGAATATGGTGGGCGCGTCGTTGTCAGCCTGGCTGCGTGCCGGCGGTTGTTTTGGGGGGGTGGAGGAGTGGGGTGAGAGCGGGCGCGGTATGCTAGGATCAGCAGCGAGTGCCTGTGAGCGTGGGTGCGTGTACGGCATTGGGCAAACAACATTGGGCGGCCAAATCTGCTGCGCCTGTCTTGTACAAGTCAGGTTGCCGCATGGTGCTGCACGGACCGCCGAGCCCCAAACGATGAACACTCACGCAGCAGCGGCGTGCGCCGCCTGCTCCTCTGACGACATTGCCCTGGCGATCAGGGGCCGCTTAAATGGACGCGGAGCTGTGTATCCGGCTGCTCTTAGGCAGGAAGCGCCGCGAAACGCACAGCGCTGCAGCATACGGATCTGAGGAGAGTGATCTGGGCTGCACAGCCGCCCTGTCCATACGGGAATTCCTAATTCCGATCCCCAAAATACCTCCTACTGTATTCTCTAAGGCGAGGATCAATGACGGGAGCTCGAGTGAAAATGCAACTCACGACAGCCATTTTCCCCCGGGTGATGGTGGGCATCTTGAAAGTACAGGTGAGCAACTTATGGCCATATGACTGTATCAGAAGAGTTCTAGCTGGCCCGTGTTACCGCCTGCATACCCAAGTGTGCATGCCCCTGCGCGCTGTTGTGACGGTCAATGTGTGCAAATTGCTTTGTGTCGCATTCTCAGGACGGTCGCTTCACACACACTGTGTGTGCAATACACAATGCATGCCCCAGTGGAGCAGGAGAAGCCGACTGTCGCACAATCGCCAGTGCCATCCCAAAGTCTTAGCCTGCCCAACAGCACACGCATGCAAATGCATTTCAGTACTGCCCCAGATTGCGTGCATCCCTCACACATTCACAACCGCGCTCCCTTCTTTGGTACAAGCGTGCTGGCATGTCCCCTCGCCTGACGCTTGTTTGCAAAGAATCCGTGGTAGCCCCTTGCTGTGATCGAGACCAACCCCACCTGGGACAGAGCAAAAATTACGGTGCTGTGCACAACACCCTGACAACGGCCACACCTGACAATGACCAAGGCGGGTGCAACCCCTGCCCCAAAATTGGTCACGCTGCGAATGGAAGTCTTGCGTTCTCGGCAAACGAAGGCCGTGTGCCCCGCCCTTTGCAGCGGGGCAACAAACGTCTGCCATGCTGGGCAGACGCGAGACGGCTGCACCAGTGGGTGAGCCGGCCCAAGAATGCATGCACGTCCACACGAGCTGCGAGGGGCTTGGTTAACGCAAGCGAGGGCTGGATTGCTAACAATATGGCGGCCGCTGGACGTTTCCGCGTGCAAGGGCGCCGAGTCACGTGATGAATGCTCTCAGCCGAGAGCGGCCCTGGCGCGTCGCACGCAAGGGACGTCCCTGCCTCTAGCACGGAGCGCCGCTGCGCGTGGTGGTGGGCCCGGCCAACCGGCGTGGTCAGACAGATAAAGCACTGCATCGGCCCTTCAGGGCATGCGGGGCCGCACAAGCCGAAAAGTCAGCACCATGACGCAACCACCTTGCCGTCACGCTTGCTCAGCTTCTGCATCTCCGCAAATCGCAGGTGCACGCGTGCGATGCGCGTGCGACTGCACCGCGATGCCAATCCAATCAATTTAGGATCACATGCCCGTTGCGATGTGGGGGCAAGCTGTTTTCCAGTGAGCAGGGTCGCGCTTGCTCGGCCATCCAGCAGCCGACAGGCCGCCGCCGGTCAACTCATCCCTGCCGCCCGGCCTGAACCTGCCCCCCCCCCCCCCCCCCC